TGAGGAGCCAGAGAAGGCACCTCTGGGGGTGGGGGCTGGTTCTTGAGTGGGCCCTGGGGACTTGTTAAGTGCTGTTTAAAAGTACTTGGCATCGAATTACCCTCATGCCTTGTTAAAGGGTTTTTTTTTTCCCCCTTTCTTTCTTTCCCCTCCTTTTATCTGAGATCAGCATTTTCTACTACCAACACGGAGCAGGCTGGCCTCAGTAGCATTTGCATATCAAAATGCAGCCTGCTGCCTTTATAACATGCAGTCAGCTCTCAGCATCAAGCTGCTTGTCCCACTTCTGAGGACGCTTCTGAGGCGGCCACTTTGTTTAGTGGTTGTCTCTTTAATTCCTTAAGTACCAAGCTGGGGTGAGATGAAAGGAGGCACTCTTTCAAAAAAATAAAAAATTACATAAGAAGGCTCCAGGTAGCTTCTCTTGGGAGAGACTAAGTAGGAGTCGCTCAGCCTTCCACTGTTTATGTATGGAGTGCCAGGCTGCAAGACTGCGTCTCGATTATCAAATGCATTCTGTAAAGATTTTTTTAAAAACATTGTTTTTAATTAGTGGCTTGAAGTCTAAGAGTTGTTGCGTTTATAATCTGAGTTCTGAAGTTCCAGCATCAAACTCTAGCAAGAAAACAGATCTCCTGAAGCATGCTGAGCCATAGATAGATGTCGCAGTCAGACCCAAAGACTAGGCAACTTGGTACATTTCTATCATGATTTTAAATAAAATATCATGGTTATTGTATGTTAAAACGTGCCTATTAACGGAGCCCACGCTGAGGCTTAGTCACTCTCTGATTAGGCTCATTTTAGAACTCATAAGCAATAAATGCTCAATTACACTCCTGTTATTGTATTTTAATTTGTTAAGAATTGGCATTAAAGAAGAAAGTTATAGCAAGTTTATATTTTCAAAGGAGTCTCCATGTCAGCAGGGATTCATTATTTACAAGCATTAACTTTGATTTTGGAACTAGGTTTGCATATTTTGGGTAGATATTAATGGGAGTAAATTAAAGATGCGTGAGAACAGCCAGAAAACCAACTTGAGTGTTGGCTGTATGCTAGCTGAACCTCACTTTTTTCTCTCTCCCTTTGATGTGTTTTTGATTTGTGGCCTTTAGTATAGGACAGTTCTGTCTTGAGAGTTCCGATATCCCTGTCCTAACAACAGCAGCAATATCTCTATCCTTTGGGGCGCTGGTGGCATGCTCACTTTCCATGCGGAAGATCTGGGTTCGATTCCTGGCCATGGTACCTTGTGCTCAGCCCCCACCCACCTGCCATTGGAGGCTTGCTCGCATGTTGTTAGAATGAAGAACAGGTTTCAACAGAGCCCCCATACTAAGAGAGACTGGGAAGAAAGACCTGGTGATCCACTTTTGAAGATCAGCCAGTGAAAACCCCATGGAGGAAGGGGATGGGCCAGGAGTGAACAGCGTTTCCTTCTGTTCTGCTTGGGCCTGGCCACACGTCAGGGGTTACAGCAGCTTACCAGGAGCAACTCAATTCTTCCATCTCGTTTGCCCATGAAAACTTTCTTTCCATCTTTGGTCCAGACCCTTTCAAAACTGCAGCTTTGCTTCTGTCCCTCCGAGGGAGACTTTCCGCGCCCGGTGGCCACTTTCCGCTGGAGTTGTTCATCCAGAGCACATGCCCAGCTCCACTGTGACTTCATGAAGTCGCATTTGCTCTTGAAGCTCAGATCCAGCCTTTCCATTTTCAGATGTCCCTGTCTGCGAAAAGCAAAGCCCACAGTGACGGGCCTCCAAGCTGGCCAGTCTGCCTGGACAGTGTGACAAGCCTGTAGTGGCTGATAGCAGCTGTAGGTACGCTTGTTGTAGACTGTCAAGTCTCCTGCAGACCATAGTGGCCCTGGTGACAGAGTGGATGTGCCATCCTAAGCTGTCATCTTTACAGAAGGGGCCCTGCTTGTGAAGTGCTCAGTGTGCTTGGCTGCTAGACTGATGGTCCCAGCCCGCTAGCCGAAAGATGTGACCATCAGAAACCCTGTGGGGCAAGTCTGCTCTGTTCTGTTCAGATCGCTATGAGCCCTACTCAGCTCTTTGGCGGTGGGTGGGCTTGGTTTGGTTGGAGTGTTGCTTGGAGGAGGCTTAGTGGTACCGTGGTTAAAGTGCTCAGCTGCTTGGCGAGAAGTCAGCTCTAAGGAAGAGAAGACTTGAGAGTTCTGCTTCAATGAAGACAGCAGCCTGGGAGACCGTACACTAGGAGGCAGCTCGACTCTGTCCTGAAGACTATGAACCTCATCAACTCGACCAGAGTGGGGCCCGAGCATGGGGGTTCATCTTTGCAGGAGCAGACTGCTGTCTTCTCTCCCTCAGACCTGATGGTGGGTTCAAACCGCTAACCATTGAGTCAGTAACCAAGCAGTTAACCGTTGTGCCACCGGACTCCTATAACAATCCTACTCCTCTTTCATAGACCACGGTGGGGGCATGTTAGATTCGGGCCCACCCCACTCCAGTGATGCTTCATGCTGTCTCAAATAACAGCATCTTCCAAGGCACTACAGGTAGACCTGGGAGGGCCTGCAGGTTTGCTTCCAGACCAGGACAATAAAGAAGAGATCAAAATGAAGCGAGCCACACGAATGTTTTTGGTTTCCCCGTGCATACAAAAAGTCATGTTAACACTGCCCTGTGGTTTAGTCACTATGGACTGGCAGGATGAACACGTTTGAGGTACTGTAAGAATGACCCTCAGACACAGAGACATGAAGCAAGCACACACTGTTGGAAAAGCCGTGCCCACAGACTTGCTGGATGCAGGGTGGCCACCAGCCTTTTATTTGTTTTTGTTTTGTTTTGTTTTAAAAGTCAGTATCTGTGAAGCTCAGTAAAGTCAAGTCCAGTAAAATGACGTGTTGTGTATATTTCTTAACAAAGTGCATTCTCAGGTACCAGGGTACCTTTTGGGGGCCACAGTTCAGTCCCTGACTCTGTCTGCTGGGCCGTGTGTTGGTTCCTTTCCCCTTGTGTCAGAATCACGAGCCTGCTGTCTCTTGTCCCCCCATGCTGTCAGCAGACTTCTCCAGCTCTTAATAAACCAGGACTGGCCCTCACCCCTCACCTCCTGGAATGGAGACACTGCCCTGCATTGGAAAGACCCTCCTTCTAGGAACCTCCGGGCTCAGTCTTCGGGTTCCTCTGCCCACATCATCTGACTACCCTGGTCCTACATACTAGTCCCTGACATACTCTGCTTCTTCAAGTCTGTCGATTTCTCTCTCTGCGTTCAGTAGCTCCAATGGTCGGCGGTGACCAGCACGCAGTGCATATCCCAACCTCCTGGTGCCCGTGGCCGCCTGCATGCACATTTCTGAGGTAGTTCACTGAAAATTACACGAATCTGAACGGAATCGCGAGTACCACACGTTTTTATTGGGTTTTCCCTGACGATGTTGAGGGAATTCGCTGAGATTCCTCTAAGGAAGAAGTCTGTTTATTCCCAATTCCTGTTCAGTGTGGGTCAACTTGAAATGTTAACTTCTTCAGGAGACGTTTCGAGCGTGTTGTGAGGAACCTTACACCTTACGTACAACTGCCAGGCCCTGCGCTCTCACAGTCCTGCTGTGTTTGAACCTATTGTCGCATCCACTGTGTCCTTCTGTCTCACTGGGGGTCATCTTAGTGGGTGAGTCAAATTAGTAAGATAATTAGTACCTGTGGTCATCAAGTCCACTCTGGCTTATGGCAGATCCGAGTGTGTCCGAGTAGAACTGTGCTCCGTAAGGTTTTGGATGGCTGGTTATTTGGAAGTGGACTGCCAGCTCTTTCTTCTGAGGTGCCTTTAGGTGGGCTTGAACTTCCAACCTTGAAGTGAGCAGCCGAGCTCATTACCTGTTCCCATTACCCAGGGAATAGGCAGTCATTTAAGCAGCTGTATAGTTTGGTGTTCACCTACTTTCTCCAGCTGGCTTCTCGGTCCCCGGGAAGGCAGCCCCTCAGCCGTGAGCTTTTGCAGTATCTGGGTTAGGTCAGCGCACAGAGACCACGCTCTGGTACCAATGATAAGAGTAAGGGCAACACCACTTGTACAAACACCAAGCCCAACCCACTGCCGATGACTCAATAACAACCCATAGAGATAACTGCCCCTAGGAGCGCCCAAGCTCTCCATTTTTACAGGGCAGACTGCTTCATCTTTCTCCTGCAGAGCCGCTGGTGGGTTCAAGCCCCTGACCTTTCGGTTCTCAGCCAAACACTTAACCCACTGTGCCACCAGGCCTCCTTCTCTGAGTAACCCACAAGACCTGCTGGGCAGATGGACAGGAGGAGGAAGGGGCAGCCCCATGGCACACCTGCTACATGTAGAGTATTCGGCTTCTTACCCATGCCAGCAACCCCGCATAGCAAATTTCATTGCCAACTCAGACAACAGCAAGTTCTCCTTGAGTGCTGCAGATGGTTCATGCTAACCAAAAGGTTGGTGGTTCAAGTCCACCCAGATCTGGTGATTCTAAAGAAAGGCCTGAGAATCTCCCTCCAAAATGTAGAGCTGCCTCTCACCCCTTGCTTTTCCGAGGCTGTAAATCATCAGTTGTAGGGTGTCTCCTAGTTCTCCTGTGGAGCCGCTGGTGGGTTCGAACCACCAACTTTTTGGTTGGCAATCCAGTACTTATACACCACTGTGTCACCAGCACTCTTTCCAGTACTGCCCAAGCCCACCGCCATGGAGCTGACTCTCACCCACAGGGACCCTACCTCGGGTTTCTGAGATTGTCATTCTCTCTGGGAGAGGTCTCATCTTTCTCCTGGGGAGCGGCTGGTAGCTTTGAACCACTGACCTTACAATTAGCTGCCCAGTGCCTACCCAACAGCACCATCAGGGCACCATTGTTGTAGGCCAGCACACATGTGAACTCCCCTGCTTCCCAAACACGTTCCCCATCCGAAGGGTCAGCGGTTTACAGCCCACGACGGCTGGTAGGGCCTTCTGTCGGGATTCCACACTAACCTCTCCTGGGTCTCTCTCATTCCTGGCAGGACTACATGCAGAATGTCCACGGTAAAGAGATTGACCTTCTGAGGACCACCGTCAAAGTTCCAGGGAAGAGGCCCCCCCGCGCCACATCGGCCTGTGCGCCCATCTCCAGTCCGAAAACCAACGGCCTGGCCAAGGATGTGAGCAGCTTGCACATCTCGCCAAACTCAGGTAAGGAGACCCCGAGGGTCACGGCAGTGTGCCGGCTGCTGGCTGCCCTCCCTCACTGCCAACGTTTACCTGACCACCTCTCAAGGGGCCCCAGCTGTGCACAGCAAGCAGCTCTGTGAGCCTGGGGTTGGTCAGTGAGATTTGAGTCCTTACATGCAAGCCCAGCCATAGGAGCTCTGGTAGCGTAATGGTTACGAATCGGGCTGTGAACTTTAAGGTCAGCAGTTTGAAACTACCAGCTGTTCTGCAGGAGAAAGATAAGGCTTGCTGCTCCTGTAAAGATTTACAGCCTTGGAAAGCCTGTTACAGGGTCACTATGAGTCGGAACCGACTCCACAGCACATCACCACCACCACCACCAGTACAAGACATGGAGTCCTGGTGTGGTGCTGTGGGTTAATGCACTGGACTGCTAAGTTAGTTTCAACTGCAAGGTCACCGGTGACTTGCTCCTTGGAAACCCGATACAGGGTCATTATGGGTCTGAACCAACTTGATGGCACTCAACAACTACAAGACATATGGAGCCCTGGTGTGGCGCTGTGGGTTAATGCACTGGACTGCGAATCGGTTTGAACCTCAGGGTCGGCAGTTCAAGCTTACCAGCCGCTCCTTGAGAACCCCATACCGGGTCGCTGTGGGTCAGAACCGACTTGACAGCACTTACAGCAAAAACAAGACACGGGGAGAGTGGTGGCTTCATAGGCCTTCACTGGACTGCAAACCACAAGGTTGGTGGTTTGAACCCACCAGGACGCTCCATAGGAGAAACATGAGTGTTTAGGTTTTTTTTTTTCCTCTCGCAAAAATGTACAGTCTCAAAAACCCTATACAGGGTTGCTATGTGTTGGAACTGACTCGATGACACTCAACAACAACAACAAAAAAAACATGGATTCGTTAAGTCATTAGTAGTTGCCTGTGCAGGTCCTTGGGCAGTACACACTGTTTGATTTGACAGCTAAACCTAGTGGTGGGCGGTTCAGACCAACCTGCTGGTACCGCAGAAGAAAGTCCTGGCAATGAGCTGCCATAAAGGTGATAGCCTCGAGAACCCAAAGGATTGTATCATGCAGGGTCACCAGGAGTCGAAGGCAGGTCAACAGCACTGGGTTTGGCATTATCTCTGTTCATGAGGAGCCCTGCTGCCGCGGCAGGTTAAGTGTTGCACTGCTCGCCAACCACTCCAACTACAAAGATGAGGCAGTCTGATTCCATGAGGGTTTGCAGCCTCACAAACCTAAGAGAACAGTTGTACTCTGTTCTGTAGGGTCTCTGAGAGTCCCGGGACTGTCAACTGCACAGCAGGAGGAATGGCTGAAAAAGTCGGGAGAACCCGTTTATGGCAGTAGAGACACCATTCAGAGCAAGAATTTTAAAAAGCTGTTGCATCTCTGTCACTTTTAAAATTTGCTCCTATTGAATCTTGACAATTATGTCTTTCAATCTTTAATGCAACTTGAGTCTCCTTTAGTTTCTTTCTGAGGATTAAAAAAAAAAATTTTTATTCAGGTTTAGAGAGTGAGCATTCTCCAAATCAGATGTTCCCGTGGCCTTTGTAGAACGCTGTTGTTCATTGGTGCTCCACTCTCTGCTGGGGGTGGCTTTCGGTCCATGTGATTGCTTCCCCAGGGACGGTGTGGGGTCTCTCGTCCTCTCATTAGTTCTCACAGTGAGCCCCTTCCGGAGCCCCTTCCACCCGTGCAACCCCTTCCGGAAGCCTCGTCATTCCTCTAGCAAAATGTCCCTCCCTTCTCTCTGGCTCCCGTCCAGTTTTGTCAAAACAGAGCTCCGCCCAGCTAGCTGCCGTTTGTAGCCTTGTGTCTTTGCCTGCTGAAACGTCACGTAGGGCCCAGGAGGGATGATGTTGGTGCCTGAGACCTGGGGCGTTGCTGATGGAAATCAGAATGACAGCGAGTAACCAGAGTCGGGGTTCTGGGGTACAGGGCACCCCATGCGTTGCCTGAGCAGTTTGTTCAAGCTTGCTGTGTTACAGAGGTGTGGAGTCTGGTGATGTGGTTTGTGTGACAAAAGCTGGGGACAAATGTTAGGACGTCTCATTGAAATCACTGTGGACTTCCGCTAACAGCCATAGCAGTGCGCTCCCCCAAGGCCAGGGTGTTACTTCACCTCTTCTCCTGTGACCTGCTGACCTTTCTTCTAAGATGGCCACGGAATGGCTCTTGTCAGAAGGGTGCGTCAGTACCACTATTGGACAAGATGAAAGAAATGCCCGAGGAAGAAATCACGGTGTAAACAAAGCTGCTGTCTGCTTCGGTACTTAACATTTTATTGTTTACTCACCCTCCACTCTGTGCCAGGAATAACTGAGCGTGCCGCAGATCGAACCCCTGACCTTTGGAATAGACCATCAAGACCAGCCAGTGACCCAGTAGTTCATTCCACCACCCCTTGTAACCCTTCGTGGAAGTCTACCCAGTTCAAGTCAACAAACAGCTCTTGTATTTCTAATGAGTGCCACCATGTCCTGGGCCCTGTAGACAGGGGTGAACAAGGCTCACTCCTTCCCAGGAAGGATCTCTGGCTCCGCAATGGTGTAGAAGTAAGTGTAACAGACTCATGGGAACCTGATGTATAGCACCCTCATGATTGTTGGTGAGTTTGAACCCGTCGTTGTCACTAGTTCACCACAGGAGTGGCACAGAAAGGCAGCCAGCAGTACTATGGTCATCTCTACCCTGGCAGGTGGGCAGGAAGACTTCAGGGCGTAGCCAGTGCCTCTGGTGGGTTTGAAGAATGGGTAGGAATGTGCCAGGTTTGTGGGATGAGGGAGGCCACCAGTACTTTGAAGAAGTGATGGATGTGGAAGATTCTGGAACTCTGGTAATACAGTGATTAAGCATTCAGCTGCTAACTGAAAAGTTGATGATTTAAACCCACCAGTCACTCCATAGGAAAAAGATGGGACCTTGGGACCCAATGGGACAGCTCTAGCCTGTCCTGTCAGGTCACAGCAAACGCAGTGCAACTAAAAACAATAAAAACAAAGTCTGAACTGTAAATAGTGTTTTGAAATTCACTTTTTTAGCTTACCAATATATCACTAACATTTTCCAATGCAATTAAGTATTTGTTGACACACATTTTCTTGATTGGATAGTATCTCATCATATGGGTAATGTCGTTAAGTGCCATCCAGTCAGCTCCAATTCACAGCAACTCATTCCGAGGCTTTTTAAAAAAATCTTTCTGGGAACAGAAAGCCTCATCTTTCTCCCGCGGATCGGCTGGTGGGCTTGAAACCCCAATGTTGTGGTTCACAGTCTAGTGCTTATCCTGTAGATCCACTGCACTCCTCATATGGGTTTTGTTGTTGTTGTTAGGTGCCATTGAGTTGGTGCCCACTCAAAGCGACCTGATGCACACGCATGAGTCCATCCATGCTGCCACTTGGCCAATCCATCTCGTTGGGGGTCTTCCTCTTTTTCTCTGACCCTCCACCTTACCAAACATGATATCCTTCTGATAATATACCCGAAGTATGAGAGATGAAGTTTGGCAATTCCTGGCCTCCAAGGAACACTCTGGCTGCACTTCTTCCAAAACAGATCTATTGGTTCTTTTGGTAGCCCATGGCACTTTTGATATTCTTCTCCAACACCATAATTCAAAAGCATCAGTTCTTATATGGTCTTCCTTATTCACTGTCCAGCTGTCACATGCATATGAGGTTATTGAAAATACCATGGCTTGGGTCAGGCGCACCTTAGTCTTCAAGCTGAATCTTTGCTCTTCAACACTTTAAAAAGGTCTTGTGCAGCAGATTTGCCTAACGCAATACGTCGTCTGATTTCTGCTGCTCCCCTGAGTGTTGATAGTTGATCCAAGAAGAATGAAGTCCTTGACAACGTCAATCTCTTCTCCATTGATAATTTTATTGAAGTAAATTTCTACTATTGGGCATGTTGAGGTTTTTAGCACTTCACTTGTACAGTTTCACAAATAATGCACTTCAGTGTACGTAAACATGTTTGTACGTCTCTGGCCCTAGCTGAGGGTAATCTATGACAATGAATTTGCAGTTGAAGGGGCCTGAGTAGTTCCCTGGAGGTAGAAATTTCCAGAAGAGTTGGAACTCATTCACCTGCCAGTCATCAGAGAGGGAGGTGTCCATCCCTCACCACGCCCTCCAGTAAGGGGTCTTATCTGAATTAGGAGACCTGGTGGCACGGTGGTTTCAGTGCTCAACTACTAACCAAAGATCAGTGGTTCAAACCCACTAGATACTAAGTGGGAAAAAGGCATGGCAGTTGGGTCCCATTGAGACGACAGCCTTGGAAACCCCATGGGGCAGTTCTGCTCTGTCCTATAGAGTCTGTGAGTTGGAACCAACTCACCGGCTGGCACACAGCAACAATCTTGAGACTCACATCCTCTGGGGAAGACATGAGGCTTGATAACAAACATCAGCAAGTGCCGGTAAACCAGGAGGCCCACCCAGTGTGCCTGAACGAGACTGGAGACTGAAGCTATTTTCAAGGTAGTTCCTTAAAGTTCCTTCTCTGGGGCGGAAGGGAGGCTTTGCGGCATCACCTGAGTTGCTTAAAGTGGTTTTACCTGCTGTTTACTCTGACATCCTGCCCACCCTCAGCTGGGATGCTGCCAACAGGCGCCTGGCACTTCTTACCTGGATGCCTAGTGGGGACGGGAGCTGGAAGATGCTACTTTGGGAAAAGTCCTGCTCCGTGGTCCTCAGCACACTCTGAAATCTGCACCCACCTGGACTGCGGGCGAGGCTACCAGAAAGAGAGGCAGGGCCCCAACAGGGAGCCTGAGCTTCAGCCTCCGGGCCTGGGTTAAGCCAGGAGGGGAGGTCAGGCCATTAAAACACTGAGACTTTCATTTTACCTAGGCCTCATGTGCATCTGATTATCCATCAGTAAAATGATACACATGTTCAGGTTTAAGAGATTAAAGCATTTGGGGGATTTGAGTCTTTATCACCTCAATCACTCTTTGAAAATTAAGGCTTCGGTCTTGAAAATCATTATCCATATAGAAGGCTCT